AAAAGTTTGGCAGATATATAACATTTTTTCAAGTTTGAAAGAGAAGTAGTATTCTGTTGATTCCATCAAAAGTTTAAAGATCAACGTATAGAATACCAACAGATCTAGCCGGAAGAGCGCGACAGGACCATTGAAGTAGTAGTCGATTATCGGTTGCACTCGGCACTAGTATTGCAGAACAGACCTTCGCCGCTTTCAACATAGTTTACCTTTTAAAAGCGCATAAACAACGCTGTTTTTATGATCAAGTTCTTAGTGAAACAGTTGACTGTGAATGAAACATAAGAGCACATTCAAGCATTGGTCAGTTTGTCAGAGCATTCATTCATTAGTCAAATTTCCTAATGAATTTTGGGCCGACTTCTGAGTAACATTCCTTCGCACTCAATACTTGGATATTCAACAAATAAACATTCACCAAGTGGTTCCAGCTCAACGACTTGACTGAAAAATGTGCTGATTACCTCAGAAACCGTCTTAACCCCTCAAACGTGCTATATGTTCGAGCGATTTGTTCAGCATTAAATTGCAGGTACTCTATTATCGCCGCATTTTCTCGGACTTCTTCGTGACTACATCATTTTAGCTCAACCGTGAAGGATACTGAACAATTTGTCGAGAAATATTTTACTTTGGTTTGCGATAGTGAGGCATTCCTGGAGTTACCTATAAGTAACCTAGTGGAATTGTTGGAGAGAAATGGTTTATATGTGGAAAATGAGGAAACTGTTTGTAAAGCAGCATTGCGCTGGGTAGACCATGATCCAAAACATAGGAAAATGTATATATCAAGGTAAGACAAACATTTGTTTCAAAGATTCCATCCAACTTTGCGGAAAGACAAAATCGCAGCAATTTGAACCAGTGACTGAGTAGTTTTTCAATTGTGCCTAACTTTGTCCATTTAGAATCCTGAAATGTGTCCGCCTGCTGACCTTGAAGCCAGCTTTCTTGGCTAAAGTTGTCGGACGTCATCCAATTGTTCGCAACGATCGGAGAAGTAGAGATTTGGTTGGCAGACAACATTGAACAAAGTTCCACATGAATCTCAAAAAAGGATGCATTATTCTTCATATTTTGTATAATTCCATTTAGTTGGACGAGGTGAAAGATTATCACCTGATTCCGGTGGAAGATCGCAGCCTTCCCTATCCATCTAGTAGTGAACCTCGTTCATGTCCAAATCTACCTTGTTTCTTCTTTGCAATAGGTCCGGATTGGAAATACATGCAATAAGTACGTTAAATTGAAGGATTTAGGAGGCGCATCAAGTGAAAGCGCAGCCCTCTGCGAGGTGGAGAAATATGATCCAGTTAGACGACAGTGGGTTGCTGCGGAACCAATGCCCACGAGGCGCAAGAAATTTGGAATTGCTGAGCATAATGGCATGGTATGCCAAACTCCTACATCTTTTTTTTTGTCTCTTTGTCCTCCTAAAATTCGTTTCTTCTCTTGATTTCTTAAATTTATCGTAAAATATTGGGGTATTGAATAAGTTTGCCTTCTTTCAAACTATTCTAAAAATTCAAGGATTTGATACAATAGGTATGATAATACATATGTTATCCACCTTTGTTCCTTTCAATCCTCACCAATAAGAACTGAAGAAGACCACGCACCTAACTTTAGGACTACGTTAAGTATACAGCGGCAGAGTATAAACCGCAGATCTGCTTAAAAAACGTGTCTAGTGTGATCTTTTGACATAGTGACCACATCAATCCACTCCGCACAACAGAGAATCATTTTGGCCCAAAGGCCAAAAATTATCCGATCTTTTTTCCCAAGAGGACCGATGTTTTTCGCCCATATACAGTAAAGTCTGCAGTGCAAAATAGATATAGTTTCCATGATGGAGATGATCAATCCGCTAGACCGACGTTTCATTGGTTGCTTGATCCTCTATAAACTTAATTTAATTCTACTGTGAGGTTTTCTTGTGTTGAATGGGTGAGATTTTCGTACAGTACGTCAAATCACGGT